AACCAAACAGTAAAAGTAATATTAATCATAGAACAAAGACAAATGAAAGAACAATATAACACGTTGTTAAGATGATGAACAACGTCAGTACGCAGAATCTATACTTCAAGACCATCATGTATTATTTGTGAAGTTGATACGGAATATTTATCAACAAGGTCTTGGTACCTTCCGATGAACTTTTTTAGAAAAAGGACGAGACGTTCTTTGACATACCCCTAGTTCATCAACTTTCTGCTCAGACACTGGTGACGTTTTACAAAGTCTGAGTAGGAGCTGCAAGCTCTTGAATATCGAATATATCTTTGTTTGTCAAATAAGCTAAGCTTAATACATCATAAAGAGTAAATCAAACAACTTGTTGTCGTCCATTCATGTACGAGAATAATTTTAACAATGGGCAGATCTTTCCGTAAAGAAAAATGTCCGGACTTTTTGCATGGACCGCGCGGAAAACTTCATGAACATGCATATGACACAATACAATAACAGTATTATTTTTAATTTTGTAACTGATTTACAAGACAGAGGCGTGGTAATATTCTTGTTGCATGCGTCATAAACAGTAAATCAAACAGCTCTCCCTTGATCATCATAATTGAAGACTATTTTATTTATGCGGAAATCTTTCGATGAAGAAAATCCGAAGGTATTTTTGCACTAGCTTATAAACGTGTCATGCGCGACTGGACTATTTTCCCCGCCCCTGTATTATGGATCAGTAACAAATCCTAAATAGTACAATTCATATAACTTAGTAATCTTGTTTCATTGTCAAATAAACTTCCATCTCCTTGAAGCTGTGTGTCTCATTTTGTTTGCTTGTTTTTACAGAAATGTAACTCTTTATGTCTGCATGAATATAATTTCCTTGCACGAATATTTAGACTGTGTTCAGAAGCGAACATTGCAAAATAAAAAAGTAAGAAGATACTAAAAGGAGGATTAAAGAGCATAAGTTATAAAAAGACAGACAACACCGTGTAGAAAAGAAAATGAAAGACCACAGGGCACAAAATACAATATGAAACAAACGATTTTGAACCCTTCATAAAGGAGTGGTTTTTAATGGGAACATTTGCTTCTCTTCTAGAGACACACGTCGTGTCGATAATTATAAATCAAAAGGAGGACGTTGAAGGGCTATTACAAATAAAACACATATTTGACCCCTATATTCTATGACGGTAGATAGACGAATTGTTATAGCACCTATGCAACCTTCGAAGAGAAGCCTTTAACATAACCGTTAGGGACTTTGAGATCAATAGCATCCTTGCAAGTACTAACACTCTATCAAGCAAGCCCTGGAATATCACGTCAATTGGGAACAATATACCCAATATGTAGGTGCTGCTGGAATATTAAAAATAATAGAAATGTGAACGTAAGTTGACATAATTGTAATTACCCGTTCAATTAAGTTAAAACTCAACACATTTCTTATTAAAACTTCTTGAGATATTTGGATTATCTTTTTATAGAATCAAGCTTAGATTTTGAAATGAGAAAGAAATTAAAAGCTTTTAGATCTTAAGAATTACATTTACAACCAAAATTATAGATATAATTTTTTTTATAATTACATTTTTTTCAAATGTTGTGGATCTATGCTTAAAAGAATCAAATATCACAATTAAAAATTAATTAATTGTTTTTCTGTTATTCTTTAAACACCAAAAGCCCAAGGAATCCTGACTGTGGATAATCATCATAACTATAAAGATGATGACCGGTAGACGACCCGGTTGTTCTAATCCAGGCATGATCTCCCTTCTCCATTTTACATAATGACGTCATAGCTCCGGATGGATATCCCCCTGAACTGTTTACCTCTCCAGTTCCGGCGATTACATTATCTTCTACCACTAGTTCGGTTATAATATAATTAGAACTGATTCCAGTTACAGTCCAAGCAAAAATATAAGTTCCCTTCTCAGGTGCTAAGAACACTCCATCATACTTGTTGTAATGCCCACCTTCGTTAACGATTGCTGTCTCAAAGACTATTATTGTGTCGACATTATAGGTAAATGCCTTGTTTCTAATGACAGCATAAAACATGACAGGAGCAGCTTTCTCTGAAAAAAATAATAACAGAATTCCCTTTACGTGTACATGTACTTTCTTTTCGAACGAACGAAAACACTGCAACATTTTAACATGAAATCATATACGATACCACTAAATGGTTATCAGTTTTGTGTCAATATAGTTTGCAACAACTCATGTTTGTATCCGCTCACATCAAATTCTACAAGAATTTTGTGCCGCTATACGTTAAATGAGCATAGACTTTGATTTAAATACAACACAATTACAACAAAACAATGTAAGATTTTAGAATAAAGATTCGAGGTTCAAATATTTTTTACCTCCAGGCATAATTTGTTTTACAATTTTCGAAGTTCATATATACTTAAACTTTTAAATCATATGAGGAATATTTACAAATAATTTTCAAACGATAATATATGTAAATTTTCTGTTGATGAATAGACAGGAGTAATCGTACTAAAACTTTGGTTGCAATTTCCTTTGTCAAATTTTGACTTTCGACAGTTATGATGCACTTAAAAGTTTTATTTATTTGGCATCTAAATATTTTCATCTATAACGATCAAGATGAAAATATGTCGAATTCCTCGACTGTTCTACCTTTTGTTTTATTTTGGTGCCTTGTGTAGCTTGATATGCAATATGGGTCATTTGAAAGCCGCACGGTGACCTAGAGTTGATAACTTTTACGGCATTTGGTCTCTGGTAGAAAGTATTGTCATTGCCAATAATAACAGTTATACCACATTATTTTTTTTATATTAAGGTGGCTGAGGTGTCTTCCTCCATCTTAGATTTTGAAGTAGCAGATAACAATTGATCTAGATCTTTAATGAAATGTGCAAATTTTGAGAGTAGTATGTAATTCATGTGTAAGACTTTTCATGTTAATATAGAAAATTATGTGTTTTATCATATTTACGGCTGTATTTTCTAAAAAACACAATATATTTGTTTGATTCATTTTTTTTCAACTTTGCCACATAAGGGAAGATAACTCAGATAATAGGGGAGATAACTCAGATAATAGGGGAGATAATTAGTTATCAAAGGTACCAGGCTTATAATTTGATACGCCCGACGCGCGTTTCGTCTACATAAGACTCATCAGTGACGCTCAGATCAGAATAGTGAGAAAGTCAAACAAGTACAAAGTTGAAGAACATTGAGGACCCAAAATTCCAAAAAGTTGTGCCAAATACGGCTAAGGTAATCTATGCCTGAGATAAGAAAATCCTTAGTATTTCGAATAATTTATACTTTTAGCTCAGATAAAGTAATTTTATAATAGAAAGTGTTGTGAATTTACCAATTTTGATATGTAGCAAGAAAACAAGTCCGGTGACCCATTTTTTCTTTTTCTTATCTGAAAGCATCTTATAAGTGCTATCTTCTCACATTTTATCTTAAAATTCTATGGTGTAATTTTCTTTTTATCACATAAAATTGGATTTTCCATGCATAATCCATACAAAATCTGCACAACCTGTAGCGTGAAAAAAAGTCCGGCGACCAATACTTTTTATTATATTTTTGAAAAAAAGCATGATAAAAACTACATTTTGACAATTATTAAAAAATTCTAAGGATTTTAATTAAGACCCCCATCCACCTTAAATATAAATTAGCTATAAATAAATTAGGTAATTGTACTAAAATTAAGATTGTAACTTGACCAGCCAAGTAAAACTAAATATGTGGCTGGTCTGATCAGGCAACAACTATCATCTTTTATGTGAGGGGGAAGGGGTTAAAAACATTGTTTGATTCTAAATTTTCTGAAAAGAAATCGTTTCAGAAGGGAAGTGAAAATTTGTCTGCTTCCATTATTAATTAGAAAACAAATAAAAACAATGTCTTGTTCTTAAATGTTATTGTAAAAATAGTTATGGTCTATCTGAAAAGTATATGGTAAACCATAATTAACTACCCACATGAGCATGTTGAGGACATATTAAGACTTTTTATATACAGATACTTGTACTGTACTATGACCTTTGTTTTACCCTACTTTAATAAATAATTAACTATTTTTTTCAATAACCAACAGAACCAATATTTATTTCTTAATCATTTGCTTGCAATCGTTTCAAATTTGTTTGTGCATAGATACTCTTTAAAACAAATAATGTCTCCCAACAGAATTAAATAATTTCTTTTAAAACATCTCACCCCCTTAGAACTTACCCGAACTATGTTCAAAGTTTTCTTATCTATTCAATGCAAACGGTAAATTTGGATAAAAATATCGTACGTACCACACTGATTACAAAATATATCAACATATAATACTTTTTATGGCTAAAAAGCATATTACTTTTTTTTCATTTTGCTATTTACAAGACCACTGGCATAAATAAAATACAAAAGTTGAAAAACATATTTAATTTACTAAATTTTTGTGTAGCAAGAGGATGTCACCGCTACTAAAAATTGACAATGATTAAATGTTGTTGCTTCCAGTTAGAAAAGTTCAATAGCACAATTCCGTTTGGAAAACAAGAAAATGTGTCAGCGGTTACAATAAGCATGATACTGTTCAATACAGAGTGTAACCACAAATCGCACAAATCACGAATGCTACCCGTCTTTTCAGTCAACGGATTAGACGTTGAATTCATATTGTGGTTGTCCTGGCAATTCCAGGATCTGCTTACCCTTCCGGAGCACCTGAGACCATCCCCATTTTCTGTTCTGTTGCTCAGTCTTTAGTTGCCTATGTTGTGTTTTGTGTACTGTTGTTTGTCTTTTTGTCTTTCCTTTTTTTGCCATGGCGTTGTTAGTTTTTTTTTCGATTTATGAGTTTGTATATCCCTTGTTTTGAACTTATGAGTTTGTATATCCCTTGTTTTGAACTTATGAGTTTGTATATTCCTTTGGTATCATCTTTCGTCTCTTTTTTAAAGGGATTGTTAACTTTTCATTATTGAAATAGCACTCACCTTTCTCATACTTATCCTCCAAGGTCTGCAATACAACTGAAAGATCATTAACAGTATTTTTCAGATTTTCTAATTCTCTATGTGCCGCCATTAATGACTTCGGTGTAGAGTTTTCTGTTAAAACGTATATGTGCGAGTACCGTTATAAAAAGTACACAACACATATATTATATAAATACACAAATGTACCTGTTATCCCTTACATTAAGAATAATAAATACAAACCTCAAGAAAACCTCTGAATAAGAGTCTAACGGTGCGATGGCTTTACGGAGGTCTTAAGAATAAAGTGACAGCTATTACGATTTTGTTATAATGTAGGTAGTTAAAAAGAACTTTTCCCATAATAAACAAACCAAAACAAAATTTATTTAAGGTGATAACTGTTACTTTTTGAATACATTTTATCGCTGTTTGTTTGCAATTAATGACACTTCAGACATCCCAGCAATTATTGACGTCATTACAGGAAGATTTCTGACGCCAAATTGCAAAATGCATCGTTGTATGACCTCAACAGTTAAATTGTCGAAGATGCCCAAATATCGATATTTTAGATTAATTGATCGGCACATGTGTAAAATCCGAATTAATACCGAAAATGCTTCCAATACATTATTGTAATCTCTTTTTAAATATGCAATACTCGTAACATATTTTGAAATATCCCGTGGACTGCAATTGTGCGATTCAATGAACGTGGCGCTATATGTCACATTGCATTACAATGTTTAAAAAAAAATGTATGAGTTCTAGGAATATAACTTTCATCCAATATTTGAAGTGTTCACTATAACGCGACAACTACAATGTAAAAATACATAACGACAAATACGTGCATCTTTGAAATGAAATTTTAAAACCAAAAACTTTTAGAACAGTTTTTATATGACAAAAGAAAGTCTCACCGATACTGTTGTAACAGTAAGGCTGAATATATTTATGCTAAACAGATATAAGAAGATGTGGTATGCATATGAGTGCCAATGAGACAACTATCCATCCAAGTCACAATTTGTAAAAGTAAACCATTATAGGTCAAAGTACGGCCATCAACACGGAGCCTTGGCTCACACCGAACAACAATCTATAAAGGGCCCAAAAATAACTAGTGTAAAGCCATTCAAACAGAAAAACCAACGGTCTAATCTATATAAAAAACGAGAAACGAAAAACACTTATGAACCACATCAACAAACGACAACCACTGAACATAAACTTTCATTTACAAGCAGCAAAGAGTTGATATTTTTTTCGTTTATTGAAAATATATACGTTAAATGATTTAGTGTATAAGGTCTATGCTACATTAGATTTTGCCTAAGGTCACACCTTCGTAAGGCATATGCTGTATTAATGCTACTAAAATGAATATTTAGACGAAATTAAGATTATGTTTTTTTTTCAGATATTAATATAAACTTTAGGCGCTAAATAATGCCAAGTGGGTAAAAATATGACTGTTACCTATTATACAATAGGTTTTAAATAGCCAATTCCTTTTTTTCGGTAGAAACAAGAATATTGAATTGGTTTTTTTTACATTTTAGCTAAGCAAAATCAAAAATATGTTGCAGCCCGCAAATAGATTTCAAATATTTAGTTGTTACACATGCAACATTTAGGTAACTGATGTGTGAACATGTTATGAAATCAAAAATTTGATGAACCAAATATTTTATGTTTAACAATTGATCTGTTACAAAAAATTGTAACTCTCACCCGTTATCGGCCATCTTGCACTGTTGTCATTCCTGAACTCACTGGTTGTAATGTCGTCGCTTTTTCTCACTGATACAGAATCTATATATTTCATACAGTTAGACAGCAATATAATTGAGAACATCATTTCTTTTGAAATTGTTAGAAATAAAAAATAACCTAACTGACAAATATATATATTTATATATTATTGAGAAGGAAGCACTTCAGTAAATAGATGGGAATAGGATATCGAAACATACACTTGTGGTATCTTAAGGGTAAGTGTTTTATTAAAGTATATTACATTCGTCATTAAGTGATGAAGGCTTGCCAACAAATTGGTCTTGGCACTACAAAATAAGAACAATTAATTGACTTTAAGTTCAGGACAAGCGCAAAACAAAATAAGGAAGTAACAAGTTCGATGTATTTATAATAGATAGAAAATAATGCATTGGTTTTTTTTTTGGAACTGGTATACTGAAAAAGATAGGTGGGGCCTATGTATTCAATGAGTAATATAATCCAAAGAACATAACCCATACTGTTTTAACCATAATATTATTTGATAGATAAAAGCTAAAACGATTGTAGGGTACACTCAAAAGACACAAATCAAAATAATTTATAGAGGTACATAATGTGTAAAGGAAATACGTAAACTGTTTTAACATTTTTGGAGAGAGAGAGAGAGAGAGAGAGAGAGAGAGAGAGAGAGAGAGAGAGAGAGAGAGAGACAGACAGACAGACGTGATTTCATCAATAATTCAGTTGAAATAGTTCAATGAGATGGCTTCTATTAATCTTGAATTTGACAGATTTAACAACATATTTATTTCAATGAACTAGCTTTCAGTAACTGCAAGTACTCTTAGAATGGTACTTTTTTTTTTTTTTTGTTATTTTATTTGTTTTTGTTATTCGTGCTAATTTTCAACTGATTTTACACTTTGGTCTTATTTTGTGCTGTTACACAACTGTCCGAGGTTAAGAAGAGAGTTGACCGCTTAACGACATGTTTAACTCGGCTACATTCTATATGTACCTATCCTAAATCAGGAGCCTTTTATGCAGTGATTTTCGTTGCTTGTTGTCTGTTATATTTGTTTTTTAAATATTGTTTTGTCATAAATAAGGCCGTTGGTTTTGAAGTTTGAATTGTTTCATTGTTTGGCATGTCTGAGTCTTTCATATTAGACTATACGGTTTGAATTCTTATAGTTCTTGAATGCCGACGGTGACTTATAGTTGCTTATATCCACATCATTTGGTATCTGTTTGATAGTTGTAAATTTGGAAATCACAGCACATCTCCTTATACTATATTTGAGACGCATCTTTCAAACGTTGATATAATGTAACACACGTAATATCTAAAATGACTCCGGATATATTACAATCATTAAACTCAAACAAACTCTGATTTGATAAAGTTTTGTTTTCAATTTGAACTGAAATATATTAACTTGTTTTTATCGTAACGGAACAGCTTTATTCTAATACCTTATATATCAATTCACTATAGTCAAATACATGTATAGTGAAAAACAACCAAACGTGTCCTTTCGTTACAGTAATATGTCAATTTACTGACAACTTAACAACTTAGATATGGGTCTATAATATATAAACAAACGTATTGAAACTAATTTGCCGCACCTTAATTCCAGACGCAGTGAATACAATCTACAACAAACATGGTAAATGATGCATCTTGTGTAATTTATTTGCTCAAAATTGGGGGATTGTGTTGATAATATTCCGATATATTTATTACTGAAACTGAACATGCTGAACAACAAATACTTTATTCATTTCAAAAGTAAAGCAAAGCGTATTAACAAAGTACCGAACTCTAACGTAAATTCATAAAGGGGGAAGTCAATGAAACATGACAAAATCAAACGTTAGAACATATTAACCAAAGGATCTGACCTGGTACAGCCATTGTCAATTTGATTTTTAAAGCTATCTAAACCTCTCACTTGTACGCCAGTAATTTATAATTCCGTTATATTGAAAAAATTGGGCGAGTAACCCAAACAGACATAACTTGTAAACTTGACAGCTGTATGTACCGTGAAAGGTTAATTATTTTATAATGCCATAGCTGCTAGAAACAATAAGGTTATTTCATCTCAAAATTGACGTGGTTAAGCACCTAAAAACTTTGCTATACCATCATAGTTTAAAGTCTAATATATATAAAACAATAACGAATGAAAATACAATTAATTAGTGTATTCAATATGAATACTAGTACTCACAATATATATTTTGAAAAACTCATGAAAAATAAGTTTACCAGGCTTATAATTTGGTAAGCTAGAAACCATTACTCAATTTAATTTTTAAATCTTTCTATTTTGTCTAAATAATATAAGCGACAAAGTCAGTCATTTTTAATTCGACCGTCCGACTTCACCTATGATTTTAAAATTTTAAAAGAATGAAGTACATATTTATTCACAGTCTATTATAGTTCCTAAACTGCACAATCATAATATACACTGTTATAGATAAGGATTCACACTTTTCACATCGCAGAAAAAAATCTAGACATCAAACCAATCTTCATGTTGACTCATGTCATAACAATAAAATAAACTACATGTATATTTTAAATACAATATCTTAAATATTAGTATATTGTTTATGGTTACTTATCAGTGTTAAATGCATGTTTATATAATTAATATAATTATACGTTTAAAGTATGCATACTTCCATTACAACACATGATCCGGAAATACATTATACTGTTTTGGTAAAACATTTTCAACGATCGAGATTTCACTGTAATTAGCATTCTCATCATTGTCTCGTTTTTGTTGCTCGGCAGATAGCATGTTGATGCTTTTGATGATTTTATTTAAACCATCGTTAAATTCAATCCTCCCTTCTTGTTTCTCTTCATTTATGCCATTAAATCCTTTGATTATCTGATTTAAACCATCATTCAGTTTGACTTCAGCTTCATCTCTATTTTGCTCTGTAGTAAGCAACCGGACACTTCGCTTTCTAATGAATCGTAGAATAAGAATTCCAAGCTCTAGAATTTCACCCAGGCTTATTACTGACATGCCAACCCATAGTCCAAGGGATCCTCCAATATCAGACCAAAAGTTTTCAATCTGTTAAACAACATGAAAAATATGCTTTCAAAATTGTTTAAACATTTTAATTTGTTCATGTTTTACATGTATTAACAGATACATGTTTGCATGTAGGAATGGCTTAAGGAAATTAATTTTTTGACTATGCAATTTTTTACTGATATCAAGAAACTGACAATGCAAATCGTTTAAGAATGCAACTGAAAGACAAGATTGATTACTTTAATGTTTGTATGGTTAACTTCCCAATTTTTTGTGTAGCAGCATCCGACATGACAGCAGATGCATATGACGTTTACATCTCACATTGTAATAAGATTCCAGATAGGCTATTTGCATACCAGGGAGGTATTTGTCGAAGGGTTGTTAATAGTACAATGAAACTCATCTCATTCAGAATGTTATTGACGCTTGAATGTTTTATTGACTATTTGTTGATCATATTGGTTTATTTGTATTATAGATAACAACGAAGGTGTCCAGAAATATCATATCACAAACCTACCCTACTCTCTACTCATGACTTTCCAATGAAAACAACTTACCAACGGATCTCTGAATGCAAGGAACTACACAAGAGATATTTGAAGTGTAACAGGAGCCGCGTAGCCCTATTGTTAATGGATTTTTAGCTGTTCGATCTTTAGTTGTTTTGTGTATTGTAGTTTGTTTTGTCGTTTGTATTATCTGACCGCACTGCTGACTGTCTTATATTGTGATTTTTCCTTAGGTAAAGTCTTACTTCTTTCATACAATGTAGTGACGTTTTTGTCAATAACCATCAACAGATGCAGTTATTTAAAGTCATTTACATGTAAATTTATGAAATAAAAAGGTATTAAATCTAAATTTCAAATCAACGGTGTCGAGGAAGAACTTTTAGTATTAGGAATTTAGAAGAAAAAGTACTTGTAGTTAATACAATTGATCTGATAATTCTTTACTTTCAAATCAAAATGTTTGAAATCCTTGTAAATAACGTTAATCTTTGCCGACCTGTGACATATTCAGAAATCATCACCAGCCATTTTATAGTCCCAAAAGAAGGTTCGCATGCTCTATTCTCAATAAAATGAAATGCGGATAACCGTGTTACTATCTTTGTCCATCGAAGCCTTAAACATTGTAAAGTGTGTCAGTCAAACCTTTTTGGTAAAGAGGTTAAATGACTGTAGATAATAATGTTTTTGTTTTTCGATAAAAGAATTATTTCTAATATTCTGTAGTATCGATATAATAATTCAAATTAAACACACTAGACACGTAAACAGTCACATGGGTTTTGCTCATTGTTGAAGGCCGTACGGTGATCTATAGTTGTTAATTTATATTTGGTCTCTGGTGAATAGTTTTCTCATTGGCAATCATACCACATCTTCTTATTTTTACATTACAAGTTGTATTTTTTTCTTTCAACTTTGGAGAAGCGTACACTGGTAGAACTTACAAAATATGCCATTAAAAGTGTAGCACAATTGAATCGGAACATCGAAAGTTTCGGAATTGCCATTTAGTCTTCACAAATTTCGAAAATAAACTTTTCAATTACCCAGCAGCTACAAATTGGATTGAATGTTATCTATGCATAAATGTATTTACTGTGACGGTCTTTTCTTATAATCTTAATGAAAACAAACGCCATTGAAATCTTAACTGTTGCAATATCATGAATATTACATTTAATTATTTATAAATTTTCACTCTCTAATTTTTTTATTTCACAACAGAACTTTGCCACTTTTATCAAATAAGATATACCGTGTATGCAAGTTCCTCTTCAGTAACTTCCTCCTGAAGGGAGGAAAAGTATATGTTGATAAACAATAAACTTTCCCTGTGTAAAAGAAAGAAAAAGTACATGTACTATGCAGTTAGGAAAGTGCTCTTTTCCGCATTATGAACCATGTTACGTCATCCCTACATTAAAACTCCTAATGGTGACTTGAACAAAAATAGTGATTTGCAATTATAAACTGGCTTTGGTAAAGTCAATATTGCAGATACAAACTTCAGCAACGTTATACAATGAACATTATATAAATAACACATAGCTGAGAGGGTGATAGAGCAGAAGCCAAGGTTGACAATGTCTTTTTGAGGGGTAACAATCTGCTCTATCACCCTCTCAGCTATGTGTTATTTAATTTATTATACTGAATGTTCTGTTATTACTGTCGATTAAATTTCAAATTTAAAGTAATACACTATGACGTCTTGTACATAACAACCATCCGTATTTAATAAAGCGCACACTTGATCAAGCGTCTCCGTGAAGGGTAATAGAGTATTTGCCATAGAATAGAGTCGTATTTGATAAAGCGCACACTTAATCAAGCGTCTCCGTGAAGGGTGATAGAGTATTTACCATAGAATAGAGTAAATTGTCTCCCTCGTATTAACCAATCAAAATCTGGCATTTTGACATGAAGTATAATTATTATAATAATTAATAGTATTTCTGTATGCAAATACTAAATGAAAGATATGAAAAGATCTGGTTATTTCAACACATCTTTATGATCTCTGATACTGCCATTATTTGTTTATGATAAAGACCATAATCAATAATCACACTATCTTTGTTATGCAAATTTTTGGGGATAAAACTGACAATGCCATGAAAGCAGCATACATAGAACCGTTTTATCTGTCTAAGAATGATTCCAATGTGCTTAAAAAATGTCAACGAAATGATACTTCCCGGAGACTCCATTTTCTTACTTTTTATATTGACTTTCTTCATTTTATAAAAGAGAGACGAAATATACAAAGGGAACATTCAAACTCACAAGTCATAAACTAACTGTCTATGCCATGGCAAAAAAGTAAAACAAGGAAAAGACAATTGTACACAAAACACAACATAGAAAACTAAAGACTGTACAAAACGAACCCTTACCAAAAACCGGAGGTGATTTCATGTGCTCCAAAAGGGTAAACAGATCTTGCATCACTAGTGGCACCTGTCATGTTGCTCAAGATAGTACAAACCCGATGATTAGTCTAATTCGGTAGGTCACAATCGAGAAAAAGAGAACATATCCGTCGTCATCTGTGAAACAGATGTTACATAACGGTATACCAACTCGTGTTTGGAACTCTTGGCTCAATAAATTCCTTGTAAGCAGCAAGCCTCTATCAAAGAACTACTGAAGTACAAGCTCTGGAATATGTATCAACGGGGAGATGCATGTTTCATATGCAGGCGCTGCTGTAATGTTGCTACATCAAAATGAAAAGTTCACAATTTGGAGGCTAAAATCATCTTGTTTGTCATAAAGTTTTAATAATGGAACAAACTTAGCACATGCATAGCCAATCTCCAGGTAAGGGTCGAATTAAAGGTCTTATGAATACAGATTCAAATTTGTAAAGTTACAGTCAAAGTACTGCGATTTTTTTTTCAGATCATTTTGACGAAATTAAACCAAACCGACAGCTATTGGCAAAATATTATTTGAAACTTTTCACTTTTACAAATGTTTGAAACAAAAATCTTATTTATTTTTTTAATCTAAATCGTCGCTAATGGCCCTTTAATTTGTCTTGTATTGATGTTGATGTTCCATTGACTCCTTCTTATGGAGTTTAAATATCTCAGTTTGTTCGACATGCGCTTATCTGTAGTCACGAACCATATGTCAATGAACGTTTTATTTTCATTAGTAACTTTAACAGTAGGGATACAGATGACATGAATTGGTCAAATACATTATCAAGTTTCATTGATAGTATAGACATTACATTTATTTTGGAATAATAAATGAAAAATATCACCAACATTGGACAGTAAAACTACTACATGAATCACCAACTATCCTTTCCCCCAAAGATATAATGTTCAAAAAGACTAACAACAAAGACCAACACATAGTACTATTAGCCTGACCTAATGAAGGCACATCAAGAATGATTATGCTCGCAAGTTTTCAATGAAATGGGATATTTCACATCTAGCTTCTTATAGTCATAATGTTTATGAAGTAAATAAGTTTAGAATTTGTCCATCAAATGTTTTTTCATTAGAAAAATAGAGGATAAGCTGTACCCATTAAGGATATAAAATAAGTATATGCACAACAAACATTACACAAAAAGCAAAGGAACAGCATATTTATTGCAGTTCTTCATCTCAAAGTCACAATGAGGCCTTCAATAAAGGCAACAGTAGTATACCGCTGTTCGAAACTCATAAATCGATAGAGATAAAAACAAATCCGGGTCAACACGGAGAAAACAAAAAAACTCTCATCTCACTGCAAGGTTAAGACGCCTCTTAGCACCGTGTTGCAGCGTTTTTAATTTTCGTTTGTTGTATTTAGCATAAACCATCACATTTTTCCAATTTTGAATTTTTTTAATTTTTCCATGCCGGGGCGTTTAATGGGTTACTCTAAGGTATGGTTATGCTTATAGTTGAAGGCATTTTAGCCTCTTAAAATTTATAGCATTTAAATCATTGATTATTAATTGCTAGCATGAGGAAGGAACATTTAACAAAAATAACGTGTTTCCCACTGAGGAGCCATGTATTAGAGTGAAATTTCAGCCTCGTATTGACAAAATAAATCGGCAGTAAAAAGTTATTATTCTCTAGGAGACATTGTCGACAAGTTATGGAGATGTTATTTTCCCCGTATTTTTCCTCAAATAAATCAGTGATAAATAATAGTTACCTTAAGTCCTGGTATGCCACACCTCTTTGTTTCAGGATTGCATCAAGTACTCCTACATAACTTCTTCCTGGCCATGTTGTCATTGAACGGAATGTCTCATATTTTATTTCGCTTTAGAAAACAACAGGATACTCGTATTAGAGATATATATTACTTTCCTAAATGGTACAACCTTCCCAAACAATACGTAATTTTGGTTCACGTACCCCCCTTTATAAATTTGATTTTGATGGCAGATAAAATGTATTCTCTGTTGAAATTCCGAAACATTATGACATCAGATCTATTTAAAGTTTCACATACATATTGTAGATGGTTGTCTATAATTAAAGAAAATATGTCAATATGCATGTTAGACTGTTTAATTAGATAGCTGTCACAGTCACCTGTAATGTTTGTTCATACTGGATTGTTGTCTGAGTGTCAGTTTTCACATGTTTGTTTTTGTTTTCCTTTGTGGCATTAATTATTATGAGATACTTCATAGTTGCAGAGACAAATGTGACGAAAATTTGATTCATGTGTTATTCGTGGAAAGGATTTAAATGAAATTTATAAACAGGAAATCAATGATGGGAGGATATACAAAGGCATTCTACAGTATGAAATATAAAGAAGATCTCTGATTGATTGTTGTCATGACAAGAAAGTAAAACACGGGCATTGCATGTAAAAGAGAGGCGAAAGATACAAAAGGGACATTCAAACTCATAAGTCCAAAAAATAAACTGACAACGCCATGGCTAAAAAAGTAAAACACCAACAGACAAACAAAACACAACATAGAAAACTAAAGACTGAGCAACACGAACCCCACCAAAAACTGCGGGTGATCTCAGGTGCTCTGGAAGGGTAAGCAGATCCTGCTCCACATGTGGCACTCGTCGGTAATAATACTAATTCGGTAGAATGACAAACACAAAGATAACATATCGGAAGAAACTGACCTAAATGCGAGGTAGATCTTTTGGTGCACACCTTAACATATTTAAGACAGCAATGATTTGTAGTCTCTAAGAAAATTAGCGGCGAACTGACAGGTAGGCCTACCATCTACTTGGGAGTAGTATTTATGGCTCCCTCTACCTTAGTTGCCTTTGAGACAACACAGTATTACACGACTTTAACCAATAATGAAGGCTATCAAGGAGTAAACATTTCAGACATTCTATTAGAACATTTTAATTAAAAGCATTGTCTAGTGCACATTATCCTTTATACTTAAAAGTAATAAGGTTTATTCTTTTTTACTCTTTTGGACTATCTTTTTGTTTATGTGAACTTACAACAATGTAGAGCATAGTACGGGATTCCTTACATCAGAGACCCCGAACTCGTCATAGATTGGTAAAACGAAAACCTTTTCGGGAAACGTTTATAAAGAAAAACTACAATCAATTAAATCTCGCAACAGGTTCATTTTCCTCTCCAATGTCAGAAGGTACGTCGCTAGTACTTATATGTACTTATATCTTACTAGATTATTTTCGAGAAAGTTTGTGTTGATGGCATATATTTGATTATCTCAGTTAAAATTACATACAACGTTTTGACATATTGACGTGTGATCTTGTTCATGACATATTGTATAGACACAATTCATTGTTGCAAAAACCTGACGTAAACATTCAAATGGCGTTGGATATCATCTCCTTTTATTTATGTTCCATATACAACCCTATTTTTACTTCATTAGATGGGTGAACTTATCCTTTTAGTAAGACTAAGATACAGTATATTTCCTTAACGTACACGAATTAAGTTACTATATTTTCGACAAAATGTAAGGAACTACCATAAATTTCATCTTTTAGTATTCGTATTGTTTCCATCGGTTGAAATATATAATTGATATTTGGAGTCAAACATGCTTCAATTGTACCTTATGAAGTCCTTAAATATTACAACGCATCATAATGACCGTCTTCGACACCACAAATAGTTATAAGGACAAAGAAAGTATAATCAAGAAAAAAAATTTCCCCGACTTACTATTATATTATGGAATGGGTACATGTATCGCCTAGAAGATTAACAAATTCTACGCTAGGCAATTCAGTTATCCCACTTGATAAAAGCGAGAAAGGCAAGGCTGCATATGTCATTGGCACACATAACACAGCGAATAAGGATTAAAGTAGATTTATAGAGTCGGTTCCTAGCAAAGTTAGCGAATTGAAAACAATGTATGAAAGTTAAATAGAACAAAACAATAAATGAACCTAATCCAAAAGACATACTAAGTTCAAAAATATGATTTCACTCATAAAACCAATTCAAATATCAAATGATCAGTGTAAACGAAATCTACACATTAACATTCTTCTGTGCAACAAATGTGATATCAGTCATTTAATTTTAGTTGGGAACTTAATTGTTGAATAACTTTAAAACCTTATTAATATAATAGAATTATGAAGATAATATATTGCTGGATGAAATAATAAAAGATTTGTCGTCATTTAGTTTTTGGTGGGGTTCGTGTTGCGCAGTCTTCAGTTTTCTAAGTTCTGTTTTGTGTACTGTTGTTTGTCTGTCTTTTTCTTTTTTAAGCCATGGCGTTGTCAGTTTATTTTCGACTTATGAGTTTGAATGTCCCTTTGGTATATTTCGCCTCTCTTTCATAATAGAGATATGATCATACTTGCAAGGCTCTTTGCAACTGCAGTTGTCGCTACCCTTTTCAGCTAGTGCCATACACAGAAGCTCTAAAAATATATATAACATGATTTACTTTCCTGCATAACTGTATGTTTAAACAATTTCTATTTACACATGTTATAATCAAACGTGATATTGGCAATATGCATTCTAGATTTTGATGATTTCTTATACAAATCACATATCAACATTTACTATTAAATAAGAGTTCAAAAGTAAAAAGTCCAATTTGAATATACTAGACAAAAGAAAAGCACTGAGGGAACTAGGGAATCGCATGCCCATAAACGGAGCGAGACTTGTTGCATCATTCTATGCATACATCACCAGACTATGTCAAAATATTACGATAGATAATAGGACAAAATCAGGTAATCAGGTAATCAGGTAATCATGTTTATGTTAGATCAAACAAACTTTTTCCGGTTTGTAGCATCACTGAAGAGGTGTTATTTTTTCTAATCCTGCAATCAGCCAACTATTATAACATGTACACATGTACACAGACAAATTCATGCTTAATTTTTACTTGTACAAATGAAGTCTCCTGTTACTCAATTTCTATGTTGAGCATTAGGTAATTAGGAGATAACTGTATTGTATGTTATGCTTGGCCTTCGTAAAATTGAGTTAACCTAGCGACGCGACAGTAAAATCAACTTTTCGAAGGCCAAGCTTGAAATACAATACAGTTATCTCCATTCTCATGACACATATTAAAATTAATTCCATTTTAGTAAATATATTGGCTTAAAAATGCCATAAATGAAAAAAGTCCACGAAACTGTTACATCCGTCTTTGGCAACTAAACAATGTGACGTCATAGGTATACTCCTGATATCAAACATAAACATTAAGACGTATTTACACTTTTCGTACGCTTCTGAATGGTTTAAATTTTGACAAAAAGAAGATTTTGCGGCACAAAATGTGACTTTTTTGCTTATTTTTTTAAGAAATAACATACAAAAAAAAAAAAAATCGGAATTCAAAATGGTAGAACGTGGAATCTAACCCTTCAAATTATTTGTCAACGTCCAATGAAAATTATCGTTCTAAACGAATTGCATTGGAATGTGAATCATTATTTTTTAGATTACAGTTCATTTTAGGATTCTCTTAGCGGTCCGCTTTTAAACTTTGTCGATTTCTTTCAAAAATCGGAGACAACTATTTGAATTAAACATATTAACCTTAAATTGCCGGGTGTACATTACAAGATAAAAACAATATAATTTATTTGTACTCGCTAGGAAACGAAAAAAGCTTGGAGAATCTCGCTTTTCGTCCTTTTTTTTAAGCTCATACAAAAAAATCTATATTTTCCGACAATGTACATATATTGTATATAAGTGCGTATCTAGTGCAAAAAATAAAGGCATCAGAGGTTTACCGATAGTCAAATCTCATAAATCGATTAGGAAGAGAAACCACGGTAATAAAAAACGAAAACAAAAACAAAAAATTCATGTGAACTCCACAAGCAACAAGACTGAACGCGTAAAATTTCATTAGTAAAATTAATTCCGTTTGAGACTATGCCAACTTGGTTGGTGGTTACAGAAAATTGGTATTAATATTTCAGTTGCATTAAGTTATATAATTATCATCACATGTCTTTTAATTCACAATGTTGTAATTTCTTTTTTGTCTTAAGTAGCTTCCACCTGCAGATCTATCCATACTTTGTAACTCCTTACCGTACATGTACCGTTAGTTGCTCGACAGTTATACAAATCAAACGAAAGAAGTAATCCCTTCTGGGGGTACTATTTCAGTAGGTTTTAATCATTCTGTACTTTAAACTTCCTCTCCTTGTAATATATCGATGACATCAATTTATTTGCTTGTATAGTACATTGTGGTATTTGCTGTTTGAAAATGTTATGGAAGTCGTATCGTTAAATCAGAAGTCATATCGTTAAATCAGAAGTCATATCGTTATATCAAGAAGTATTTTGAGTGTGAATAAAAAACGGGACACATATTAAGTTTTTAACGAAAATTACTAACGGTATGGAAAAAAGATTTAAAACTATTAATGACTTACATATCCGAACAAACGAATGTATTATTGGATTACTCTATGTCATTTATTAAGGTAGTTATTTAACCTGATAAAACCAGTCTTTCAATTAAATAATTCCAGATTATATTACTATTAGATGTAAATACCCCAAAGTGATTAATTATCCATCCAATGCAATAGATGGATGTTCTTAGATTATTACCTTGTCTGTGCAGAAATAGAACAATTCTTTTAATGACACTAAGTTTCTGAAATTGATTGATGTCAATGTTGTCACTTAAACTTACAACTCCTTAGCTGTCGCAAACAAACGCTGCTGTCGAAATTTTGCGACTTATGGATTGAGGTTCAAAATGAAATGTGCATATACAAATACATGCTTTGCGTGACAAAGATTTATGTAAGACATATTTACTAAATGTACCTTCAGGGTCATCACAAATCCACAGTCCTAAGCTAACATCTGACAAAGTAGGTGAACAGTTACAGTTCTTTTCCACAATCTTTTCTATACATAGTTCGAAGCAGGCCTGAAATAATTTTATTTAATATCAATTTATCGAATTAATCTGTGAACATCTAGATTATTAACGACAATAAAATCTGTAGTTCTGCTGTTTAATAAAATCACAAAACAAAAATACTTTTAGAGGCAAAATTGAGATACTTTGTTTGGTCATTTTGTTCATGATTTGACCGTCACTGATGAGTCTTCTGTAGACAATACGCGGGTCTGGCTTACGACATCATTAGTCTGGTATCTTTGATGAGTTTTTTTCCCGCATATAATGGGGTATCTCTGATTTACAAAATAATAAACAAACTGTATCCAATTTTATTTTACGACAGAACATTGATCTGACATTTTTGAAACATCACATGATTTGATTTAAATCAATATCCCATTCTTGAAAAAAGGTCATCTTCCTACGGCCTTTTATTTGCTTACATTGTCCCACACCATTGTACCTTAACCAACAGTAAATATAAACTTACAACTAGCAAACCCGAGGCCCACAAGAGAATACATGTTCAACGAACGTAATCAATAGCAATATTAATATTCTATGAAAGACACGAGTTTATTCACTTCTATAAAACTCTAAATCAATATTTGTACTTTTTCGAAGTATCCTTTTGTAAACAACGCAAATGTTGTAGATACAGCGAATCACTAAAGCTATATAGATAGTGATCACGTAAAAATAAGATTTCTGGTCCTAAGGGATGAATACAAATAATTGAAAAAACAAATGTGACGTGGTTATCGTCTAGACCAATTACTGTTCTTGACATTTAACATTATATCGTTTATTTAATTTCATGACTGTATTACAGTGAACATTGTTTAAAATGAACTTTTTTGAATCCAGGGTTTAAAATATTACAATAAATTTATTTCATTAAACATTCAAAATCTGAATTCTATGAGCTTCTATGTAAAAGATTTATTTAGATTTTTACTAAATTTCCAAATCTTTTGTGTAACCCACTGTTACTGAGCATATGCAAAATTAATCTAGTTGATGTAACATGCTTTCTACGACAAAAAATGACAAATAAGAGTCTCATTACCATTTTTTGTTTGCATGCGTTCGATCTGTAGCTCTTATAGAATATATTTAAAAAGTAAGAAGTTGTTACCTCTTATGGCATAAAATCTGATCTCTGTTTGTCTTTTAAAAGGTTTAGAACATTACTCTTTTACGGTAATATATAAATTTACATAAACATGTTCCCGCCGAAATAGCTATTTGTTTAAAATCTGAATTCACTGATGGACCAATCGAGTGAATTTGTACCAAATCATTATGGACTACTACATTGTTATTAATAGTAATAAAATGTGGGAGTGTGGTTCCAAATTAAACAAACTTAAACAAGCTCTCGGAATTTCGTTTTGACAATATGTTAAAGTACAGCTTAACAGATTCTTAAAAACTGTTTTTTATGCATAGATGTGCAAAAGTTTGCATTACTATAATACACTTCCATATAAATTTATAAGAAGACGGAATGACAGATTGATCTTGATATTGAAGGATTGTATGTACTTTACTCAATATTTAGGTTTAAAATGTAAAATAAGTTTACAAGAATATCATTGAATGCGATTTTGGCTGTTGATAATCACTACGCATTACTTCAAAACATTTAGTAAATACAGTACAAAACAAAGATGATTGTCAGTTCTTTAATTTTTTCTATTTACTTGTATAGAGAATTTAAATTTTTATTAAACTCAAAACTTATCTGAAGTGTACAGGTATGACTGATTTATGTTTTTTAATCAACCATATAACCAGTTAAACTGTATGTACAGCATTTATATTGCTGCATTATCAGTATCCATTAATAGTCTTGTTCAGTTTGCGATGTTAAATCTAACGCACATGGCAGAGGATTGACAAGCTTAACGTGTTTCAGGAACTTTTAAGAATAATTCCAGTAATTTTTTTGAGCTTATATAATTTTTGCGATAAATACCCATATACATGTATATATATATATATATATATATATTTTACCTCCTACACTTTTCTAGGAATATGATTGGTTAAAAGCAACCGCGTGGAGGCCATGTATATTTCATATGGGGTTAGTAGGCGTTGTCTATTTCAATACACGGTTAGTAGTGGTGTTACGTCCCTTTGTAAAAACAACACGGCGTTGAGGAAAAATCTGAAGGTTTCCACAGACGAGGAAATTGATAATGAACGATTGAAATAAATGCAGAAAACACATTAAAAGTTAACAAGCTGTTATTGTTGGCATTTGCTTTTGTATAGGCCAATGGAAGTAGGTTCTTAATATTGAAGACTTGATCAATTTGATAGGCCACTAGTCTAAATGACACATGTTAAGATAGTCGGTAAGATAAATTCGTTACACAGAGTGCTAGTGACCTAATACGATATACATGGGGTCAGTAAATTCCGTATGGGGTTCGAGCTTCGCTCCGCAGATTTTCTATTTATTTGCCACTAGTTCTCTTTTAAAAGTCAGGACCATTTAGAGCTAAATATACGTAAATACACTTGTATATTGCTATATACTGTTTGTTGTCCTTAATATGTCTTATTTTGTTTTATTTACGTTTACCTTGTTTTCTATTACTCGTATCCATATGACGTATCTATTTTCTGCCAGGCTCTGTTTCGAACTTTTTATCACAGATCAACGTAATGTGACTCACGTTGGTCTTTTGGAATTTTGAATTACATGAATGTGTTACATATGAACTGTTTATTCACCCAGGAATGCTCACAAATGCTCTTTATTTCTCTGTAATGCATTCTCTTTTATTTTGAGTAGTAATAAAACGCAACTATAGGCACTCGAGCTTTTTTACATATGCGACATAAGAAAGAGGATACAACGGTGGTAAATTTGTGTGGAAATAATTTAGCAGAGCTTTCTGTGAAAATGAAAGGAATAGCAGAATTTGTGCAGGTAGCCTGGTTTATCATAGTTTTGTTTTACAGAAATAATAAGATATGTACGGATTCTAGTTCAAGGTTTTCATGTTTTTCCTTTTGATGAAAACAAAACTTTACGACAAAAAAAAATTATTTCAGCCTCCCAATTGTGAATTTTCCATTTCTATGTAGCAACATTCCACCAGGGCCTGCATACTTAGTATACTTCTCAAAGTTGATACGATATTCCAGGGCTTGTGTTTCCTATCACGATTTCTTTGATAGAGGGTTGCTGCTCACAAGAAAGCTATTAAATCAAGAGTTCCAAGTGATGAATTGAAATCATCCTTTCGAAAACTTTACGGACGCCATCACGAGTTGGTTGACCATTAAGAATATCTGTTTCACAGATGTCGACGGATATGTTCCAATTGTCGTAACTACAATCGCACCCCCTTTCCCCGAATGTGACCTACCGAATTAGACATATCACTGGGTTTGTACTTACATGAGCAACACAACGGGTGCTACATGTGGAACAGGATCTGCTTATCATTCCGGAGCACCTGAGATCACCCCCAGTTTTTGGTGGGTTCGTGTTGCTCAGTCATTGGTTTACTATGTTGTTTTATAAAATGTTGTTTGTCTGTTTGTCTTTTTGTTTTTAGTCATGGCGTTGTCAGTTTATTTTCGACTTATGAGTTTGAATGTCCCTTTGGTATCCTTCGCCTCTCTTTTGCAATGAAACAGGCTTGTGTTTAGCCCTGGTCTTTTATAAATAATTATCCAGTCCGTGTTCTTCCACTTCATTATTCATTATTTCTCTCCACTGCTTACAATCCCTTCTCCCCCTCCCCCCGCCGCCCCCCCCAAAAAAAAAACAAACAAAAACAAAAAGATATCTTTATAAATCCTTCGTTAATATGGACCTCAAGAATACTTCCTTTTTCTATTTTTTTTGTAAATTGCTGTCAAGGATCTCTTTGTACCGAGTTCTGGTTAGGAGTTCTTTTTTTTCAGTAAGAAATTAATCAAAAGAATTACTATATTGTATATTTTCATCCTGCTTGTACTGACATACCACCCTTACAGACAATATTGGTAACACATCTATAGAAGCAAAAATGAGTATACACCTTTTCGTAAGTATTCTTGGTTGTTGATTTATTTCATCTACAAGTAATAAACGTTTCTTACCTGGATGTTGGTAAATTCACCACTGTCATCACATAAATCTGTATTACCAAATACTTCCCTTTTCCTCAACATTCTCTTCTTTTATACAACAAATTAAAATGGAAAGCCGAGTGGCTGATCAGTGACATTGTTGGCAAATGAATAGAACAGAAATGAAGTTTGCTTGTTAATTCGTTTAAGATTACATCACTTCATTACCGACAAATAAAGTACTTTGAATTAACTTTCAATATTCTAACGCTGTTTTTATGTTGTAATAAGGGTAGTGTCTGTATCTGCGTGGGGTAGGATATGTATTAAATACAATTAACAAAGCCAAATATTCGTGTGTTTGTTCCAATTCATGCGTCTCTTTAATAGTTGGCGCTGTCTTTCCGTGATTATAATGTTTTTAGAATATCTGTTTGGTGTAAAAAAAAAATGCTGTCGTTCATCCACATTCATACTGATGAGTAGCAAAAACCGTCAAAAAAATCACAACTTTTTTTTAATAATGAAGCTAATTACAACGTTGGTGTAACTGATCACTGGTTTTCGAAAAAGTCACACATTTTCTTTAAATTAAGCGGAACCCGAACAGGTTGTTGGATATATGATGTATTATCTAAAACAAACGTTATTCTAAAAATGCTTAGTGCAATAAATTCCACACTTGTCGAGATTTATTCTAACCCGTTATATATAAGTTTAGGGCATATTTTTCTGTAATGCCTTATGCTATTCTATCTGAAGACTAAACCTAAAATTATATCCCCACATATATAATATATCAAATGATTAGCAACATACCTGAAACAATGATATATCTGTTTTAAAGCCAGGTGATACTGAGAACCCATTGCTTTGTAAATATGGTCTGTACCCATTTTCATGTATCGACAGAACGACACCTGGATCATCAGCCACGTATGGTATGTAATCACTCTGGTTCACATTCAGAAATAACTGAAATGCTTTGATGGCAATTGAAAAATAAAAATTTGGAAATGCAACAAAACACATGTTCATACAATACATCCTTTCCTTAATACGAGTGCACGACATGGCGTTACATACCTATGCTTCAGGTTTTATCTTAACTATACTTTTGGCATAAGTGTTTTACCGGGCCAATTGCTCTTGTGTTAAAGCGGATCAAAGATTCTTAGTTGAAAAGTAAAAATTATATTTTTTCACCATGTTATGTTTATATATCTATTTCAAATCCAGAATGTGGTAATGCAAAAATGTGATTGTCTATTTATATCTTTACATTTACATTTAGGTCAGTTGTACCTGCTGGAGTGTTTTGCTAATAAACATTTTCCCTAATTTTGAAATTTGATTAACATGTTTAATTTAAAAAAAAAACAAAACAAACAAACTATCAGTTGTTTTGACAGTTTCAATACATATTTGAAGTTTGGCCAATAAAATACGCCACACATATATCATTATATTATCATTTTTGTTTAAATGTAAAAATACTTGTCTACCTCGTTTGAAATTTGTTTAAATTTGTTTGATCACGTCAAACCATTGTTACTGTAAACATTAGGTTCAGCCTTGACATGCTTTCCATGTTGTTTGATAGTTTAAAGTTGAAATATGTCTTGTTTTTGCCATAACGTTAGTACACCAACGTCATAAATACAGCATTTGATATGTATACCCATTGAAGGTTGATAAATATTTCGTCTGAAAGGCATTATTATAGAATGTCCTGTAAACCAGGATTTTCAATCGTCAAATACCGTAACGTTTGTGCAATGTTTTGTAATAGTGTCGGGAGACGGGTGTAAAATATCTTATATTATGTCTTTCCATACTTACCAAATAATTGTCCAACGTGCTTTGCTACTAAAGGTTTTTTTGGAAACCTATAGCATTGGCCATAATAAGGATCGAAAAATGCTAAAAAGGAGCTACAAAAAGATATAAACATTATTTGTATTCACAAATTGGACTATAATTCCTAATAACTTTAAAAAAAACAGGCGAAAGATACCAAAAGGACATTCAAATACATTAGTCGAAAATAAACTGACAACGCCATGGCTAAAAACGAAAAAAACCAACAAACAACAAACAACAGTACAAAAATACAATATAGAAAACTATAGACTTAACAACACCAACCCCACCAAAAGCTGGGGATGATCTCAGGTTCTCCGGAAGGTAAACAGATCCTGTTCCAGATGTGGCACCCGTTGTGTTGATCATGTAAGTACAAACCCAGTGATAGGTCTAATTCGATAGATCACATTCGGGGAAAAAAACAATTAAGATGAAGTATGTAACAAGATTGCTGATTGAAGTATAAGTATCGTTAATTAATTAGATGTTGATTTTTTTTAAACAGAAAATAAAAACAATCCAACAGTAGATGACAAAATAAAGAATTGACTATAAGAACTCATGTGTACGCATATTCTGACTGATCAGAAATTGATATAAAAATAAACTTATCAAATCTGCAAAATAGTCATAGACATTTTTTGTTAGTATAAGTAACGATATGAAATGAAAAGTCAGGCATTTCGACATACATGTAAGCGACATTTGAAGTTATTAACCAATCATTTATATATAAGACTTACCTTTCATTACACAATTCACCCTCATATTTACAACTTAAAACGAACTCTTTAAAATCCGGGGATAACTTCCTCACGGCTTTTCTCGTGATGTTGATATCAAAATAATTCATTTCTCTTCGAAACTGTTGTTCAATTTCTAAAAATGAAGCAGAATCAGTTACATGTATTTAAAGGGCAACTAACACTTATCATTTATGTTATATGATAAAAAAAAATCATTTATCGTCAGCACAAAAATATTCATTACGAAAGTGAGAATTTTAGAGATTTGTAATGTCTTATATCGAAATTGTTCGTTCTGCATTTCTCTCAAAAATCCTTAATTGTTTGTCCTGTAAGGATCTTTGTTCGTGTACATAATGGATTTCTAAAACGTAACTTCCAGGATCAATACTCAAGTCTCAAAAGGGAAAAAAATATAGAAAGTTGTATGGATTTAGCTATGTTTTATGTCCCTTTTTGTCCTATAGCTCTTCAGCTGTTTCGGTACTTATACATTTTGTGCATCATTGGCTTTCAAATATTCGGCTTTGAGCGTTTATGATGAATGTAAGGATAATCCAGAAAAGAGCTTTCGACGAATGAAATTCATAAAGGTGTTGTTTTCGTTTTTCAAAGAAGCATCGCCGTTTTGCTATCTAAATGCAAATGTGTACACATCTATATCATAAATTTGATGGCTCAAATTGTTCAGATTTCATACACGCATCCAGGTGACAAATCGACATATTATATTTGATACGAAGCAATTAAATGTTATATGATTGTTTCATAATGTATGGAAAACATGAAGAGCATGACAATGTTTTTATTTTTTTCAATATATGATTTTGCTATACATACCTTCACTGTGCAGGTCGTCTTGATTAAATAATGTCTGGGTAAGATGCATAAAGTAAAATACAGATCAAATATATATTTCAAAGAAATGCAAATAATAAAGAAAAAACTTAAAATCTAGCAACTACATGGATGTAATGTATCATTTGTAAAACTTCTTTCAAAAAAAACAAAAAATCAAATGCTAGCACATAACATTAAATATACCAGCCGATAAGATAGCTATTAGAAATATTTGTTTTATACATACACAACTCAACATTAAGTTATTGAATCCTGATGTAAGATCTAAATTGAAACGCATCCTCGGAAACGCACTTTAATTATAAATACAATGGTTAAATTATTAAAAAAACATGTAGAAAAAAGAGGCGGATGATGCTAAGTGGACATTCAAAACTCATAAGGAAAACTGACAACGCTGTGGTATAAAACGGAAAACGACGAAATGACAAACAAAACCACAAAAAAACACTACATAAAAACTATAGATTGAGTAACACTATCTCAACTAAAAACCAGGGTGAACTCAGGTGCTCCGGTAGTATGTGAAGTTGCGTGCTCCACGTGTAGCACCCGTCGTATTTCTCATGCAAGTTTAAATCCGGTGATAAGTGTTATTCGAAGAAAAGAGAACCGTATTGTAGTTACGAGAATTAGAATATATCCGTGGTCATTTGTTTCACAAATATTCCATAACGGTCAACCAACTCGTGATACTGTCCGTAAAATTTTCGCAGGGATGACTTCAACTTCAACGCTTGGAACCCTTGGTTCAAATGCATCTCTTGCCTCTATCGAGGAAATCATGATGGCACACGCAAGCTCTGGAATATTGTATCAACTTGGAGATATATACTCTATATGCAGCCGCTGTAACACACAGTATGATTTGAATCGAATTGACATGTCTGAACCAAATAAATCATGACATTTGAATTTAATCTGAATACTCTAGTCGATTTCACATCCGTATATTCAGAGCTGTAAAATTCTCGCTTGTGTAGTCAATCAATATATTATAAGACCAAAACCCGACTGTTTGACGGGTCAAAGACCAGTATCCATTAAGTTTTACGTAAAAATATTAAATACGAACTTCGTATCAAAATACATTTGTAATTTGTAAAAAAGTTACCAAAAAATTAGGTAAACCGCCATACACTCGAATTATCATTACGTTGATGATGAAAGGAAGTGATAAAAGTGCATTGATATTTGTGTTATATTGTTTGGAAACGAGGACCAGCTATTATCACAATATCCCAGAAAATTAAATTGAGAATAGATAGATAAAGATTGAAAATAAAGAAATAAATAAATAAAATAAGAAAAAGCTAAATATTGGTAAAATTCATCATCAAAGGGCAATACCACCTATAAGGAGTCAACTAATGATTTATTTTTAGTTGCTTTTGTTTGTAGATATTTTCTTTCTGATTAATTTTTCAGTTTAAAGTTTCTCTTTATCTTCATAATTTTCAAAATTATAGCAAAACTTACTAAAAATAGGTCAATATCTACTATCAGGAGTCCACTGACGATTTCAACCATGTTGACTTACTTGTAGACCTTGACAGATTTGCTCAAAATGCAAATAAAAAAAATGTGTCACTTTATTTTTTTTCAAACCAATTATCGAAAAACAGGGATGACACGGATCAACCAACCAACAACAACCACCGAATTGCGTTCGTCAATTATCAGCTTATAAATGAAGAAATTGTAATAACACTGAGGTTCTAACTCCCTCGGGAAGAGTTGACAGATTGATTTGTCTGTTAGTTTTATGTTCTTTATGGTTATATTTGGTCTGCACGTAATTCGGTACTTATACCTCTTTGACTGTCAAATATTTGTCTTTGTGCGTTCTTGATGAAGGTCAATACATAAAAGCACATCGGACAAATGAAGTTTACAGTGCTATATTACTTGTTTTTAAAGCTTAAATCATAGTCTGATAAGTTGCATTGGTCGAATTATTAAAATCAATAAAACAGAATAAATAAAAAATATTTCATGAACGGGCAGAAAAGAATAATGTATATAATCTGTAAATTTTTAAATCTTTGAATTACATTTAATCTTTTGCAAAGTTAAGAACTATACATATCAAAATTTACTTTTCAATAAAAATTGGTTAAATCCTATATATGACTTCAAACTTGTCATGCTTTGTATAGCAGCATCCCATTCCGTCTAGTTTAAAACGTTAGGCTTTTTACTCACAGACAGATATAGCCTTTAACAAAATTGACACAACAATGGATTTTTTTACTTGCAATGCTCTTCAGATTTGTGTTTGTTATGGCTTCCCAACTTTCTCGATTCAACACATCTGATTAGACTTATATCGATGCAAAGCGCCCTTGGTGGAAAAACATTATTAGCCTTGTATCTTTAAACAGTTTAAGAACTAGTCTACAATTGACCAATTAAAACAACTCGTACCTAAAACTGTGTAATATCAGAATTTTCCTACAATTGACAGCATCACAGCTTAAATATGTAAGAACATAAAACACATTG